GAAAACTTTGGCCAAAGTTAGACGGCTGGAAACGTAACACAACATGAACACTTTCCCTGCCAGCAGGTTGATTTTATTTTCAGTTCGCCATCGTGCAGGCACAATGAATGAAACCACATTTTTTTCCCACCATGCCTGCTTCTGAGGGGGAGCTGTGCAGCGGATGATGGGTGAAAGGGCCAATGCAGCCACATGGAGTGTGTCCCAGGCCTGCAGTGGCAATGTGAACCACTAGCACCAGGCACTTACTTCCTCCTGTGGACGCTCCGATCATTTCTGGAATGACTATGTGGGATAGTCCTGGTGTGGGCCACTGAGAGAGTTGATGCAAAGGTTTTAACTAACCAGGGCTTCCGATGTTCAGGAACAGTCCCATTTATTCTTGTCCAATTAAATGTGACTCCTTTTATTTAAAAAAGAGGCAGGGAGGCAGAAAGCAAGAAACTACAGGCCAGTTAGTTTCACATCTGTGATTGGGTAATAAATAATGGCCAGCCAGCAATGCCCACGTCCCACAAGTGAATTTAAGAGTGGGGAAACTATAATTAAAGAGGCTAGAGCAGGGCACTTGGTAAAGTTCAAGGTAATCAGGCAAAGTCCACATGGTTTTGTCAAAGAGAAATCATGCTTGACCCATCTCTTTGAGTTCTTTGTGGATAAAGGAGCACCAGGTGAACGTACTGTACTGAGATATTTTATAAGGTGCCACATCAAAGGGTATTGTGGAAAATAAAAGCTCATGGTGTTCGGGTAGCATATTGGCATGGACTGAAGATTGGCTGGCAAACAGGAAGCAGAAGAGTAGACAGAAATGGATCTTGCAGGATGTTGATAGGATGAAACAAGTGGTATGCCATGGGGATGGGGGGCTGGTGCAGTGTCAGTGCTGGGGCCCCAACTTTGAGAATTTTTATAAATGATCCAAAAGAAGGATTCAAATGCATGGCAGCAAAATTAGCTGATGATACAGAGATAGGGATGATAGTGATCTGTAAAGAAGACATAAGGAGCCTACAAGGTGATACAGATAGGTTGAGTGAGTAGGCAAAGATGTTGCAAATGGAGTACAATGTGGGAAATGTGAAGTTACCAATTTTTGGCAGACAGTATAAAAAGAAGTTTATTATCTAAATGGTGAGGGGTTGCAGAGCTCTGGGATGCAGCATGATCTGGGTACCCTAGTAGATGAATGGTGAAAGGTTAATATGCAGGTACAGTGTGTAATTAGGCAAACCAGTAGAATGTTATCCTCTATTTGCAAAGCGAATTGAATGTTAGGCAGGTTATGCTTCTGTTACACAGGGTGCTGGTGAGACCACATCTGCAGCACTGAGTATGCGATTGGTCTCCTTACTAAAGGAAGGATGTAAAGGTGTTACAGACAGTTCGGTTAATGTTTACTGAATAATACCTGGAATGGGTGGGTTGTCTAAAATGGAAATGTTGGAAAGACTGGGTCTGTATCCCCTGAAGTTTAGAACAGTAAGAGGTGACTTGACTGAGACACATTAGGCCCTGAGGTGTCTTGACAAAGTAGATGTAGAGAGGATGTTTTCTCTCGTGGGAGAATCTAGAACTGGGGTAACTGTTTTAAAAAAAGTCATTATTCATTTAAAAAAAGAGTTAAGGCAACGTTTTTCATTTTCACTTAAAGGATTGTGAGTCTGTGTGACTTTCGATCTGAAAAGCTGGTGGAAGCAGATTGAAAGAGTCATAGAGTTTTACAGTGTGAAAACAGACCAACAGACATTAGTGCCTATTCAGCCCAACTCATCCATGCTGACCAGGTTAGCTAAACTGAACTAGTCCCATTTCCCTGTATGTTTTTAAGGCAGAGGTGGATAGGTTAAGTGAGGGGCTGAAAGGTTAATGGAGGAGTAGGTGGGAATATGGCTTTGCATTTAGAATCAGATCAGTCATGATTTCACTGAACGACTAAAGGGGCTGAATGGCGTACTCCTACTCCTTGTTCATATTTAACAGACTGTGACTGTGTTCAGATGAGAGCATATAATACAGCAATTCCACAGCTCCCACAGAGAGAGAGAGGGAGTGCAGAATCCAGCACACACGCTCAGGCCCTGTTAACTTCCAGTCCTTTCTGACTAAAGGAATTTTTCTTCCAGCTCCATTTCAGCTGGTCTCAGGGGAGGCCTCTTCATATTCACAATGTACAGACTGAACAAACGGGTTCGAAAACTGCTCTTCTCTTCCCTGGTACAGCAGGAAATCGGCTTCTTTGAAGCAACTCGGACTGGTAAGGACAGAACCAAACAGCTGTATTTCCTCAGATGCTGTTAACCATTACTGTTGGTAAATGCAGTCTGACAGTCATGGCTATTTTCTTACGGTAGTGTCAAATATGACTGTCTGTAATGAATGCGCTGTAACATAACTGTTTGCAGTGAACAGGCTGTAATAAGACGTTGCAGTGAACGCACTATAAGATGACTAGTGAACAGACTGTAATGACTGTTTACAGTGAATGCGCTGTAGTGTTGAATGAGATTAATCATCACACATACCATATGACTACAGTGAAAAGTTTACAAGTCACCATTAATGGTATAATCTTAGGTAGAAGATACCTAGGGAAAGATTCTTCAGTACTAATTCTTAAGGAAAAAAAGTAGAAAAATAAAGAAATAAAAAGTCCAGCATTCCAGATTGTGGGAATAAATTAGAAAATAGAGAAATAAAATGCCCAGAACACCAGTCCTTCCAACCCAGTCCATGTTAGCAACAAGCCTGCAGACCGCGCTGGGCTTCACTTTGAGGTTCACAAGGCCAGGAGACTGCACTGGAATCACTGAGACTATAAGTCCATGCTGAGGCCATGCCAGGCTGAGAGACTGCCAGGTGCTGCCAAGAGACTGCCACACCGGGCTGAGAAATGCCACAGCAAGCTGGTTTGACTGTTTGCAATGAACACACTGTCATAAGGGCATTTAAATGGTCATTGGATAAACATATGGATGATAATGGAATAGTTTAGGTTAGGTGGGCTTCAGATTGGTTTCACAGGTCGGCGCAACATCGAGGGCCGAAGGGCCTGTACTGCGCTGTAATGTTCTATGTTCTATGTTCTATGACTGTAATGAATTGGCTCTAGCTGATGGTTAGTATTGCTCCTATATTACTGTTGAGTTGTGATAACTATCCTTATGTAACAGATATTAGTGCCTGTTTGTCTATTCTGTTTATCCCACAGGTGATATCACATCACGCCTCTCCACTGACACTGCCCTCATGAGTCGTTCCATTGCAGCCAATGTGAACATCTTCCTGCGAAGCTTGGTGATGACAGTCGGGGTCCTCTTCTTCATGGTGTCCCTCTCATGGCAGCTCACCTTGCTGATATTTATAGAGTCTCCTCTCACCATAGTGCTTCAGAAGCTTTATAATAAGTATCATATGGTGAGTACACAGCCAGCAAATACAACAGACTATAGTGAACCACTTTGTTATAAACAATATGGAGAGACAGTGTAAAACAGAAGGTACTATTCCAAAGAGGGTAAAGGAGGAGAGACACCGAGATGTATAAGTCATTAAATGTAGCAGGAGAGGCAGAGAGAGCCGTTTATAAAGCAGACAGTATTTCAGATTTCATTCACAGAGGCACAGAGTACCGGATGTTAATGATGAACTTATACAAGATACTGATTGGGCCAAACTGGAGTAGTGTGCACAGATCTGGGCACCACATAATAGGAAAGATGTGAACATTTTGGAGAGAGTCGGGAATCGTTCCAGGAATGGGACATTTCAGCTATAAGGATAGATTGATGCAGTTGGGTCTGTTTTCCACGGAGAGAGCAAGGTTGAGAGGAGATTTGACAGAAGTTTTCAAAACCATGAGCGGTCTGGAGAGAGTGAATGGGGAGAAACTGTTCCCACTTGTCAACAGACCAAGAACCAGAGGGGACAGCTTTAATGTGATTTGTGAATGAAATAAATGTGAGGCAAGACAAAATGTTTTCATACAGTGAGTGGTTAGGGCCTGGAGTGCACTGCCTGGAAATGTGGTGGAGACAGGTTCAATTGACGCATTCAAGAGGGCATTGAATGTGTATTTAGGTAGAAACAATGTACAGGTTATGGAGAAAAAGCAGGAGATTAGCACCAAGTCAAAATGCTCAGAAAGCCAGTATAGATGTGATGTACTGAATGATCTCGACCTGGACGGAAAAAGATTTGTGATTCTTGTCACACCCCTCTCCCACTGAGATCCAGATATAATGTTTAAATCTTAATCAATTTGTCTCCACTTTTACTGAGTATCTGGATCTGTGCTCCCTTTTAGCTTTTTTTTTAGAAACCATATTGTGTATATTTTCTTTCTCAAAATGTATCACTTAATGTTTACACCATGGAGTTTCATCTGAAATGTCTCTGCTGATATTGCTATGAGTGTACGTGTGTCAGTGTAAAGGTGAGGAAATGCATAACCGCCTCCAGTGTGCCCGAGTGAGAAACTTATCCTTGATCCCGAGGGAGTGCCTCCGAAGGGAGAGGTTATCTATGTGTGTCCGACCCTAACATCACTGATAGTTCCCTGCATTTACCAAACATTATTCGCAAGACTGTCCATTTGAATATTCTGTCCCTGAGTCCAGACTGAGCTGCAATAACTTGAACCTCTCCACTACAGCCAGGGGATTTGATTACAGGAATAAAGATATCTTCGAGCAATTGTCAAGAACCTTGTTGAGACCAGCCCTAGAATATTGTGTACAGTTTTTCTCTTCGTACTTAAGGAAGGAGATACATGCCATAGAGAGAGTTTAATAAAGGTTTACCAGATTGATTCCTGGGAGGGAGGGATTGCCTGCTGAAGACAGGTTAATTGGCCTGGGTCTGTATTCTGTGGAGCTCAGAATGAGAGGTGATCTCATTGAAACAAAAAAAGTTATTTAATAGATTGACAGGGAAAATGCAGGATGGATATTTTTCCAGAAGTGGGAGGGCAGTGGGTCTGGTAGAGACCTAGGAAACACAATCTCAGCAGGCCATTTTGAAATGAGATGAGGAAGATCTTCACTCCAAGGATTATGAATCTTTGGAATTCTGTATCGCAGAGGGTGGTAGAGGCTGAGTCACTGAGTATGTGCAAGACAGAGATTGATGGATTTCTGCAGATTAAAGACACCACGGGATACAGGGATAGTGCAAGAGAATAGCACTGTAAATCAGTAAATCAATCAGGATCATATTGAATGGTGGAACAGCTTTGATGGGCTGAATGGCTCCTTTTATTAATGTTGTATCATAGACCATATGTGGGGAAAAAAAGAGGCTGCTCTGCCCATCATGTAAAACCATAAGGAATCGGAACAGGAGTAGACCATTACCTCCTGAAGTATGCTCAGCCATTCAATAGGATTGTGACTAATCTGACATTACTCATGTCCTCTTTCCTGCCCTCTTCCTTGTAACCCTTGATTCCTTGACTGATCAAGAATCTCTCTCTCTCTCTCTCTCTCTCATCGTTAAATGTACACGAGGACTCTGCCCCCACAGCTCTCTGAGGCAAGCAGTTCCAAAGACTGTCAACACTTTTAGAGCAGAAATTCCTCATCTCAGTCTTAAATTGGATCCCCTTTATCCCAAGACATTTCTCTCTGGTGCATTTAACCTGTCAAGCCTGTTAAGAACGCTATTTGTTTCAATGAGATCATCTCTCATTTTTCTAAACTCCAGTGAGTAGAGTCCCAACCTGTTTAACCTTTGCTCATAAGACAGTCCCTCCCATACTGGGGATCATCCTAGCGAACCTTCTCTGAACTGCCTCCAATGAAATGATATCTCCTGTTAAATAGGGGACCAAAACTGCACATACCACTTCAGATGTGGTTTGACCAGCACTTTGTTCATTTGTAGTTAGAATTCCGTATTCATATATTCCAACTCCATTGAAATAAGGGCCAACGCTCCATTAGCCTGCCTGATTACCGGCTGCACCTGTATGCTAGCTTTCAGTGTTTCATGTACAAGTCTCCACATGTCCCTTTGTGTTGTAGCTTTCTGAAGTTTTTCTTAATTTAAACAATACTGTTTTGTTTTTGTTCTCCCTTCGAAAAGGAACAACTTTCCATTTTCCCACATTATATTCCATTTGCCAACTTGCTACCCACTTACTTAACATATCAATATCTGTAAGCTGTCTCACAATCTACCTCTCCAATTGTTTTTGTATCATCTGCAAATTTGGCTTCACTTCCTTCCTCCAAGTCATTGAAGGAGGAGGCGATGGCCTCGTATTATCACTGGACTGTTAATCCAGAGACCCAGATAACATTCTGGGGATCCAGGTTCGAATCCCGCCATGGCAGATGGTGGAATTTGAATTCAATAAAATATCTGGAATTAAGAATCTAATGATGACCGTGAATACATTGTCGATTGTCAGAAAAACCCATCTGGATCACTAATGTCCCTGAGGGAAGGAACCTACTATCCTTACCTGGTCTGGACTACATGTGATTCCTGACCCACAGCAATGTGGTTGACTCAAAACTGCCCTCTGGGCAATTAGAGATGGGCAATAAATACTGCCTAGCCAGTGATGCCCTCATCTCATTAATGACTTTAAAAAACCAGCGTGGTTCCAGCACTGATCCCTGTGGAATCCACTGGTCATGGGCCACCAACCTGAAAAAGATCTCTTTATCCCTACTCAATGTTTCCTGCCCATGAGCCAATTCTCTATACCCGCCAGTATACTACCTCCAACACAGTGGCATCTTCAGACATAGCCTTTTGTGAAGTACCTTGTCAAACAACATTCTAGAAGTTGAAATGCAACACATCTACTCTCCTCGTTTACTCTATCCACATCCTCTTTATCCACTCGGGTGGATATTGGCAGTTTTCCAGCCCTCTCATACTTCTCCAGATTTTTGGAAAATTACAACCAATGCATCCACTGTCTCTGTAGCTACGTCTTTTGGGATCCCAGAATGTGCGCTATCAGGGCCGGGGTCTTATCTGCCTTTGGCAGTTTATTAGTTTGTCTAATACTGCTTCTATAGGGATGGTGATAGTATTGTAATTCCGAATCCCCACCCCCACCCCCCAAGTATCCCTACAGGTTACGGCACTGAAGGTGCATACGGCATTCCCAGCCTATCCAATCTTTCCTCATTGCAGCACCTTTCGAATCCTGGCAAATCTCCCCTGTACCCTTGTTGGTGGAGTTACATCCTTGCTGTAAATGAAGTGACCATATCTTCAAACCTGTGTTGCTGCAGTGTGATTGATATCTCCAGGACCAAGTCAAAATGCTCAGAAAGCCAGCGTAGATAGAGTGGACTGAGTGGACTGCAAAAGTTTTGTGATTCTCATTACATCCTCCTCCCACTGAGATCCAGATATAATGTTTAAATCTTAATCAATTTATTGAAGTATCTGCTCCCTTTTAGCAGTTTTTAAGCCATACTGTGTATATTTCTGAAAAATTATCACTTCATGTTTTATTCCATCGAGTTTCATCTGAAATGTCTCTGCTTATATCACTATGAGTGTACGTGTGTCAGTGTAAAGGTGAGGAAATGCATAACCGCCTGCAGTGTGTCAGAGTGAGAAAATCATCCTTGCTCCCAAAGGAGTGCCTCCGAAGGGAGACGTTATCTATGTGTGTCCGACCCTGACATCACTGATAGTTCCCTGCATTTACCAAACATTATTCGCATGACTGTCCATTTGAATATTCTGTCCCTGAGCCCAGACTGAGCTACAGTAACCTGAACCTCTGCTGTCTCATCAGCTTGCTACTCATGCTGCCTCACTCCCTTTGACCACATTGACTTTGATTTCTCTCGCACAATCCCAGGGCAGCACCTTATTACGAATCCATCTTTACAGCGTCCATTACAACTTCTTATCAATATCTGCATGGAACACATGTCACACATTCAGAGAGTGGTGAACCTTTGGAATTCACTTTCCCAGAGGACTGGTGATGAGTAAGTATGTTGGTAGGTAGATTTCAACATCTGAAACATACCAAGTATTATGGGGATAGTGCAAAAAAATGATATCAAAGTTGAAGACCAAGCATGTTGAATGGGACAGCAGGCATGAGGGGCTGAATGGCCTATACTGCTTCTATTTTCTATGTTTCTGTAAACAGGTCATTCAGTCCAACAGATCTATGTTGGTATTTATGTTCCACACATGCTTCTTCTCACCCCTATATCCTAGACACTGTCAAATATGAACCCATCAGTAGTCGAATTAATGTTTCCAGTTTTGAAGTTGACACAAAATGATGTGGAGGTAAGATTTATAAGGAGGAAAAAGGATGCTTCAAAGGTTTTTGGAGAGGCTGAGTGAATGGGCAAAAATGTGGCAGATGGCACTGTCGAAATCCAAGTGAGGTTTTCCACTTTGATCGGATGAATGGAAATTTTAAA